TGACCGGGTGGAACTTCGGATCCAGGCTCAGCTTATTTCTCTTGCGGAATCCCTGTCATGTCAAAGTGGGACCAAGCGAAACAATATATGTTAGCCATAAGGAATTTAATGAGTTTTTTCCTAAGCTCGTGATTTAACCTCGTGCCCAGGTATACCTTACGATTGGGCAGATGCTCGATCAATATGACTTGCTCCAGTTCTTTGACCGTTGATTTGGTGGCGTCGGAATCGTCGGGGACTATGAAGGATCTGGGAACTCCGTAGTCATCGTCCCCATCTGTCCCCTGCTTCTCCATTTCGGTCGGGGCCGGTGTCAATGATTGCTATTTGTTCCCTCCCTTGGAGACCGAACTCGGATCCTTTGGTGTAGAAAGTGTGGATATCGGGACCACCTCGTTGACCGTGAACATCTCCTTTGTGGTCGGTAGTTCTTCGTAAATTGTTTTAATCCCTCCTGGCTTTGGGAATTTCAATACCTGGTGAAGTGTCGAGGGCACTACCCTCATGTTGTGAATCCACAACCTCCCAAACAGAGCATTATATCTCATATCTCCTTCGATCACGTACACTTTTGCTTCCTGAATGGTTCCGGCGGTGTTCACCGGTAGTGTTATCTCTCCTTCAGTGGTCTCACACGCCATATTGAATCCATTTAGAACTCGGACTGCGGGCATAATTTGGTCTTGCAGACCCAGCTGCGCTATGACTCTCGATCTGATGATATTGGCCGAGCTACCTGGATCAATTAACACACGCTTAACTCGAGATTTATTTATGAGTATAGATATTATTAGTGCATTGTTGTGTGGTTGTACGATGCCTTCAGCGTCCTCGTCACTGAAAGATAAGGTTACCTATGGCACGTAATCTCGAGTCCGTTTTTCTCTAGTGATGGACACTTTGGTGCGCTTTAACATCGGCCCCCGGGGGACATCGACTCCACTAATGATCTTGTTAATGACGTGATGAGGTTCCTCTTGTTCGATCTGTTTACTAGAGTCCCTCTCCTGAAATGGTTTTTGGCTTGATCGCTCAGGAACACTCGGAGATGTTCGTTGTTGAATAACCGGGCTACTTCCTCTCTCAATTGTCGACAATCTTCCATTCTGTGGCCGTGAGTGACGTGATATTTACACATTAGGTTGGGGTCCCTTTGGGCTGGATCGGACTGTAGAGGTTGAGGCCACTTGGTGTCTCTGATGCGTATGATTGCAGATACAATGGCAGCAACATCGATGCTGAAGTTGTACTCCGATAAATTTGGCACTTCCTTAGGCCTGATGGGCCCGTCGAAACCGCTTTTGCTCATGAGTCCCCGGTTATTTTGACCTCGATCGCTTCTCCTTTCCCTTTTCTTGGGGTTTTGTCCGGACCCATTACCTTGTCGGTCTCCGTTGTATGGTTGATACTAGTCCCTATTTGATCGAGGTTCACGATCAATGTCTCTTTTGGACCAGTCAATAGCTCTAACGGGATAAACGGACCCGGAAGGGGCCCTAAGATGATCATCTTCAACCCTAATTTTGATTGATACCGATTATGTTCGTCGGCCCAAGTTACAGTCGGATATTCTATCAGATTTTGCTTCAACTGCTGTGAAGCCAACGAGCTTCGAGTATTAAGTCCTTGGTGAAGGCCTGAACGGTCCAATCATCTGCAACGAGAGGCAAGTCCATTCGTTCCATTTGAAACCGGAACACAAATTCCATGAGCATCTTATTATCTCTCTGTCTCACTTTGAAAAGGTCTGACTTCCTGGTCTCGACCTTGATGGCCCCGACGTGTGCTTTCACGAAGAAGTCTACAAGCATAGAAAACGACTCAATAAAATTAGGGGGTACGTTGTGATACCATATCATAGATCCCTTTGACAAAGTTTCCCCTAACTTTTTCAGCAGGACAGACTCGATCTCATCATCCTCCAAGTCGTTCCCTTTGATGGAGCACGTGTAAGAGGTCACATGCTCATTTGGGTCAGTTGTTCCGTTGTACTTAGGAATTTCAGGCATGTGGAACTTCTTTGGGATTGGCTTCGGAGCAACGCTCGGAAGGAAAGGTTTCTGAACAAACTTCTTGGAATCTAGGCCCTTCAATATCGATAGCACTCATGGGATTTGGTCGACCCTGCAATTGTAAATTTCCACCTTTTTGTAATTGGCTTAGATTTTCTTTTCTTTCGATTCTACCCGTTTATTCAGTTCCTCAAGCATTTTTATAATTTCAGGGTTAGCCCCGGGTTCAGCTTCACTCGGCCTCACAGTGATTGGTTCGTTTTTGCGAGTGATTTCCGGGACGGCTTGGGCTCAACTCTGTTGGGGGGCACGGCTTTGGTTCTGCAGTTAGGCTATCGCTACATGTTGGGCCTTTAGCATTTCGAAGATCACTTACAAGTTGATCCCATCTCTTTCACTATCGTGTGTATTTTGGGATGCCAATCGGACTCCCCGGCGGACGTTGTTCTCAGGATCAGTAGGAAGATTCGCATTGATGGCCACATGTGAGTTAGCGTCGATTGGGTCCGCGACCGGAACTCCGATGGGATCGACAGGTGGCACCTCGTTCCTGGGTACCATATTTTTGTTCTCGGCGTGGTGACCGGACTTAGCATTCATATTTAGAGGTGCAGATTGGGAGTTCGACATTTTGAACTTTGACCTGCAATTAAAGACATTTCAAAGTACAAGTGTAAAATAAGGTGCGTTATGGAAATTTGTATCAAATTACCACTATTATCCTTAACCCCACGGTGGCGCCAAACTGTTTACCCTAAAAACGGATAACAATTAAATTTTTAAGTGGTTTTAAGGATACGCGGATTAATTCGATACAAACGATAAATTGCGTTAGATTAAACAAAAAAAGATATAGTAAATTCAAACCACGTGAGTAGGACAATTCCAGCCTTGATGAAATTTCCACTCTCGATTCAGATTCACAATGGCTAGTACTGGTGAACGAGAATAAGAGCTATGAATAACAGTGAAAATAATAGTGTATTGCTTTAGGATGCGTGTTACAATGTGTTCAATAAATAATCAGACCCCTTTTATATAGTAGGAGAATCCTACTCTAGGTACAATTCCATAAAAGGTAAAAATCTCCCGTTTAACTAATTACTAGATTTCCGTCGGTACGTGCCGAGATCTACGCCGTGATACTCGGTTGGTCACGGGTATTACAGCCTTCTGTTAATCGTGTTCGATTGCCCAATAATGCTCACTGAAGTCCTTAGGAATTTAGACCGATCCCAGGGTCATGGCCTCGATATACTCGAGGGCGGGCGTCGTGCCCCCGGTGCCTGACTCGACGAGTCCCTTACCTTGATTCTGGTTTCTTGTCATCGCATTCCTTGCTCGATTTATTTTATCGAGAACCGGGTCGGCTTATGGGTACGGTTTCACCCGTATACACCAGTATAATATGATAGAAATCAATTTTTTTACATATGAAATCCAGCAAAATATGTTGGAATTTCATAATGTGCTGGAATTCCAATATAATATGCTAGAAGTTTATATGCAGGAGCTCCATAATCGAGCATATTATACAGGAACTTTTTGTGTTTCAGCTATTGTATTTTTGTCTAGATTTATCTCCGCATAAAATAGTGCTATTTTTTAATGAATTTGCAAATACTGAATATTTTTCTATTAAATATTAGCTACAGGGGCGAACTCATGATTTTTAGAGGATGGGTTCAACAAGAATCGATCCCTGGTCCCTACGGAAAATTTTCAGCTACTTAACCAGTGAACCAACACAATAAATCTAACCAGGCTTCACAAAGGTAGTATTTAGACAAATTATATGAATATTACACATAATATACATAATTTTTGTCTAAGACCATGGGTTGACGTGAATCCTTTGGTAGACCATAAATTCGCACCTGACGCTAGTCCATGCTATTTTCACATTCTTTCACTCAAACTTGGCCCAAACATATATTGGGTGAATTTGTTGTGTCCCATAGATTTTACTTTATTTTAAATTGTAATGACCCGAACAATTTTATTCCTAACCTATCCATTTGAACACCCACCCAAAATACTTGGAAGGATTACAATAAATTCCTAATATTATGGTACTATATTTTTACTATGCAGGTAGTGTTCGGACAAACTTAAGCATATTATTTACTTGAGTGTATTATTTTATTAAGTAACTTTATTAGTGTTTGGACTAGCTTCGCGCACTCAACTATTTTATTTTATTTTATTAGGTATGGTTACTTTCTCATATTTCTCGACTGTTTCATTGGTTATTTGTTACCTCCCCTAACAATATAGTTCTTTTATCTTTTACCTCTTTGATCCCTTGATCACATTGTAATTGAAAAAGTGACTTCTTTTTACCACCGTGCCATCTTCAAGTAGTCAATTTTTGGTTTTCAATGGTCTTATTTCTGCTTCTTTTCCTTTTCAAATTGTTCACAGTATGTTACTATTGATATAAATATGAAACAAGTTATAAAATGCAAGGCAAACTAACATGATTCCTCCCTGGTCTGCATACAACCCCACTACTGCTTTGCTATTACTTCACCTTTCCTCCCACATTCCTTCTTCCGTTCTTCACTTCTCCCCCCATAAAAGCAAACACCCAAAAACCAGATAAGTAAAACTCACATTTCTTCATTTCAATGGCAGAAATAACAACAGTACTGCCAAGAACCTAGCTATGTTAAAGGTAAATATTTATCAGTACTCGTCACTGAAGTTATAGAACCAATAAATATTAGATCCCTGTGTATATATTTTATACACACTATGTACATTTTATATATATATATATATATAGAGAAAAGAAACAGTCAAGAAACTGATGGTTTCAAGAATATATCAGTAGCTAGAGCTAGCAGTACACACACACACTATATATATATATATATATATATATATGAAAAAACTCCATCTTCATCCTCTTTTCATAACAGAAATACTAGTACTATAGTACTATCCAACCCACCCCCACCCCCACCCCCACCCCCACCCCAACCTCCTCCATATAGTGCTCAGGTGCCCCATTTTCCCTCTGTGTTTTTGTCATGTTTTTCGTATGTTAATGGTACATATTAGTTGCAGCATTAGCAGTATTCTAATCTCTGCTTATCTCAGCTTAATCATATTCATTATTCAATATCATCACTTCCTTATGAGAAGATTACTAAAATCATTCGTACCAACAACTCATCACTGTCTTCTTCTCCACTCATCATCATACATTAATCATAGCAAAAATCTCAAATTTTTTCTTCCAAATCGTCTCACATGGGTACGCAACATGGCCACGGGTAGAACCGTGGTGGGACCCACGAACAAGAACAAAATCGTCGTCGTAATGGGTGCTACTGGTTCTGGAAAATCAAAACTCTCTATCGACCTCGCCACTCGTTATTTTCCTAATTCAGAAATCATTAACTCCGACAAAATCCAAATTTCTAAAGGTCTCGACATTACTACAAACAAAATCTCAATGTCTGAACGTCGCGGCGTATTTCACCATTTACTCGGCGAGTTTTCGTCGGAGTTTTCTCCTTCTGATTTCCGGTGGGTTGCTTCGGACAGAATCTCAGACATCATCAATCGTAACAAGCTCCCGTTAATCGTCGGTGGGTCCAACTCATTCATCTACGCTTTCTTATCAAACCGGTTCGAACCGGGACTCGACGTTTTCAACGAATCGAACCCGGTTCAGTGTATATCAAAAGAGCTTCTTTATAACTGTTGCTTCATTTGGGTGGATGTTTTAACTCCGGTTTTGAATCAGTATTTATTTAAACGAGTTGATGAAATGATGAAATCCGGGATGTATGAGGAATTGGAAGAGTTTTTTGAGAAAAACGGATTTTCCGGTGCAAACTCAGCGAGTCGACACAGCGGGTTGAGAAAGGCAATAGGGGTGCCGGAGATGGAGAGGTATTTTCAAAAGTACAAGAATTGTACGGTAGAGGAGAAATGCAGGTTGTACGAGGAAGCAGTGAGGGAAATAAAGGAGAACACGCGGCAGCTAGCGGAGAAGCAGATATGGAAGATCCAACGGCTGAGAGAAGCTGGGTGGGACCTACAAAGAGTTGATGCCACGGAGGCATTCACGGCGGCGATGACGCCGGGAAATACCAAGATCCCGGTTCCGGCGACGGAGATATGGGAGAAACAAGTGGTGAAACCAAGCGTGAAGATTGTGAAGCGTTTTTTGTTAGAGTGAGTAGGTTTGGTTCTACAGCTATTTGCCAGCTCCTCTATTTCTCCCCTTCTTCTTTCTCTTCTTTTTTTTGTTTTTTTAAAACAAATTGGGAAAAGACTATCCCTTTTATTTTTATTTTTTTGGAGTAATTTTATGGAGAAAAAATTTGTAATGAGGCTTTT